TTAAGGTAAGGTACTCCTTACATACAAGGCACTTGCTGGTAAGGCACAGTCTTATCTTAAAGAGCTTGTAACACCGTATTGCCCTACAAGGCAGCTGCGCTCCATAGATGCTGGGTTACTTGTTGTTCCTATGGTTTTTAAAAATAGGATGGGAGCCAGAGCCTTCAGTTATTAAGATCCTCTTTTGTGGAACCAGCTTCCACTTTCAGTCCGGGGGGGCAGATTCGGTCAACTCTTTTATGGTAAAGCTTAATATTCCTCTTAGATTTTGCTTATAGTTAGGGCTGGCTCAGGTTAGCCCGGACCAGCCCTTAGTTAAGCTGCTATAGGTTTAGACTGCCGGGGGACATCTTAGGACACACCGAGCTCCTCTCTCACGCTCTCTTTCTACAATAATTCATGTTTTATTAATGCACATGACTAATTCAGTTTAGTCCTCTCTCCCCTAGCAGGTCTCCGTAGATCGTAGTTCCTTTTGGACCCTGGTCCTGACACCTGCCGTCGCCCTACTGACACCTGCTGCTGCCATCATCATCATTATTATTTTAAATAATAATCATATTACTGTAATCTTAAACCAACATTACCCTCTCCTAAAGTCTTTGAGCTTTCCCTCCCCACAGGCTTCTGTGGATGGTGGTTCTATCTGATGGTGGTTGCCCCTGCAGTGGTCCTGCTGTGCGCCTGGCTTACTATTGACAATTACTATCATAGGAATTAAATGTATTATACATTGTTCATTCTGTACACATGGCATCCATTGTAGTCTGTCCATCCCGGGAGTGGGAGCTCTCCTCTGACGTTCTCCCTAAGGTTTCTTCCCTTTTTTCCCTCTTGAAAGGGTTTTTTCATTTTTGGGGGAGTTTTTCCTGTGCCGATGTGTGGGTTTCGGGACAGAGTATGTCGTATGTGGACATCCTGTTAAGCCCTGAGGCAAATTTGTAATTTGCGATTTTGGGCTATACAAAATTTTAAAAAAAATTATTGAAGAAAACTTGCTTCCGACCAGGTTAGGTTCACAGGTTCAGTTACCATTGTGACTGACCCTGAGGTTTAGTTACCTCCCTTTCTGAAACAGACAACCCAGAGTTTCCCTCATCTCAGGGTTAACAAACTCTTGAGTTTCCACTACACCTGCTTCTTGAAACGGACCCCAGGCGTATACAACCAACCAACTAACCCGAGGCGGCGCCGTGTCTCTAAACCAATCATATTGTTGCTGTTAAACCTTTAACAGGGTGCTCTCATAATAAGCAGCTAGCATATCAACAATCAGGTCAAACTCCACGAGGTGAAGCTATAAACCGGGTAGCATTATCCTGCTTCTCCAGATTGTGATGCTAAATAGCGTCGAGAGGTAACGCTCAGCTGTGTTTATAGTAGCTGTAAATGACCACTAGCAGTGGTTGATTTTATGTGACTTTTATTTTGACATCATACTATCTGCTCACGTGATTAATCGCTCGCGCTCATGCTCACGCTCACATTTGTTCAATAGAAGACACGAGAAGCCACGTTACAAGACAATGCAGGTTTAGAGCCAGAGATTTAAAAATATCACTGTAACCTTAACTAAAGTGTTCTTTGAAGTGCTATATCATTCAGTGTTTTGATTAGCTTTGGCAGTAAACGTTTGAGAAAGACTTAAGTTGCTAGCTAGCTCTCTAACGTCTAAGTTAAGCCAATGGCGGCGGACTTCCCTGGATTACCACATTATAGCACTCTTTGATATGCGGAGCAAGGTATGTGGTTCATTGTAATTGTATTTCATGTAAATTCATTTCATATAATGACTGTTGCCTGCTATGCTGTTATCCATGTATGCTAAAGTGCATTTGTCAAAGGATTATATTGGATTATCTGGCTAAATTGCCTTTGTTATTTCCCTTTTTAGTTTTCAAGGTGCTGGTGTTGGTGTTGGTGCTATGCACACTCGTCTGAATTAAAGTACACCCGTCTGGAAACACTCCCAAGCCTGTTTATTCCAAGTTGAAGGGATGCTACAGTAGCCATACGGTTGAGCACGTAGTTTGGCACAGACCGAGACGTGATTTGCGCTGTAACTGTAAGGAGACAGGAGCTGACTCCCACATGGCTCTGGATGGCGATCTCAGGGCAAACTACGGCAGTAATATAATCTACCAGTACCGGGGAGCTGGTCAAGGAATAATTCCCTATGGAACGGCTCTGGTGGGTTGATGAAATTGCTGCTCCAGGTCGCCGGTGGCATTCAACCACGGTGCGGCAGTCCGTATCGTAGGTCGGGTCATCCAGCTCTACGTTGCACGTCAGCAGCACGTATAACACAACAGTTATAGCAGCAACTAGCGGTACCTGGGCATGAGGTCCGAATGTTAACCTACATTTATTTAATTTTTTTGCAGCATGTTATCAGAGGTTGAGAAGAAGCTATTTGGCAGGCACATCTCTCATGAGGACGGCTGTTTCCGGTGCGGCTAGATGGGCATGGCAGCTTCAGCCGGACTAGATCTGTGGACAGGTGTCGTACTGACTGAGCGTCAAAGTGTTCCATAGCGTATTGTTGCAGTTAGTTTACCTTGTTCCTAATGATTTTATGATTCATTTTTTTATTATTGTATACATGCGGCATATTTTATGTTTTGTTCTTGGTTACAAATGCCTAACATTTTGTCTTAAAGGCATCTAATAAATCCAACCACTATGACCGAAATGAGTTTGGTTGTCTTTCTTTAATTTGTGGGGAATTAAATGCAAAAGTATACGGTTATAAGTAAACAGTAACATTCTGGTATTTATAACAAAAACAGTAATCGTATGGTAACAAACTGCAATCCAATATACAACATCATACCGTATATTACGGTAGGGCACTGTAAATAAAACAGTAAGTTACTAGCGCCGACTGACAGTAAATGGCAGTTAATTCACAGTAAAATTGGTTCAAGTTTATGGTAACATACAGTAATCCATTTTACGGTAACAGTGTAAAAACCATTTACGGTATTATACTGTTAAACTGTAAATTCCTTGCTGCCAGTAATAATTTATGATGAAATTCTTTAGAGTCTATTAACAAATGCTGAGTGCTGATGAGTTTTGTGCAAGCAATTTAAGGTCGCGATTCTTGTCCCAAAGATGTCAGGCTTCATTCAGTGATTGAAACTGATAGTTTTACAGTACCGACATTGAATGCTCCGCGCGAGCTGTGCTGTAAACACGGAACTTTTCCTTGGCATGAAACGGCAAATAATCAACCCAGTGCATGAAGCTGTTGTAGCCTATTTTATTCATGCAATATAGTCAGTACAGGCGCACGCCGACAGTCGCGCCTCTGCCGCTGTTGTGTGTTATATTCATTGACAGCCCTACGCTGGGCGGCCCCGCCCTTGCAGTCAATGCGTGCAGGAAGCCTGACAGTGAGCGGAACAGTGAGTGCGCTCTGATTGCGTGCTTTTTTAATGAAGTACAGGGTACTAAAAATATTCAAAATCGTATCGTTTTCAATGTAAGTGTACCGCGGTACCTTTCTAGTATCGGTACACCGTGCAACCTTTAGTATGTCAGCCACAGGTCTGCTCGCTCTCGTTTAAAGATTGTTCTCTGCATTTATGCCAGACCCTCCAGCAATTACGCTCTGACCGTTTTCCTATTTCTGAATCTGCACGTTATAACTAATTCTTTGCCTCTGTGTTGGAAAACCGCCCCGGCCTTGTGTCCCAGACCACAAGATCTGCTTCCACCTTGCTCGATTTGGGAGCTGACGCGTCCTTATGGATGAGGGTCTAGTTAGGGTTGCCACCTTAAATACAGAAAAACAATGTGATGACCACAGGCCCAATGTGCCTATGTTTAAATCACAACTTAAACATGTTTTAATGAAAATAGATTGATACATGGACATATCGTCATAGCTGTGTATTATGCAGCTATGATGATATTAAGCATAGGACATGTTTTAATGTGAGGAACTTGAGATGAACTATATTTTATTAGCATATTAAATTAACAGATCCATAACTTAAAATTAAAAGTATCTTTGAAAAAAAAAATATTGCAGGATACTTGCAAAGGATCTTCGATGACACTATATTTTTATTATTATATATTAATATATATCTCTTATTAAAATAATGCTTATGTGTCTGACTGTACACCTTAACCGTAATAAATAAATCATACCATTACATTATTTCTTAACAAATAGGAAGCCTTTGCAATCTAACGTAATCAAAATTATCGAGGCAATTAAAAACTGTCAATACACTATTTGCCTCAGGAGATGATTGAGGTATGAAAAACTGGGAGACGATGCATTGACTTCTGTGAGGTTTAGCATAAAGGGAATGTTTCTCTCCCGAGGGATGCTGTCGCACATCTAACAGGCTACCGTGTGCCACAGAGAACAACCTGGAACTCAACGCTCTGAAGATGGTTGTGGATTTCAGGAAGAACGTCCCAACGGAGTGGTAATAAATGTTTCCTGAAATTGTGCAATTGGCTTGATATTCATTTCCGCTGACTCACTACAGCCAAGTATTCGATTACTCCCACTCCCGTCGGTACTTTAGCATCCGCAAACACATTCAAGTAGCAGGTCCTGTCTACTTGGTGCATCGCCTGCTTCGCTCCCACCGGAATACCCCAAAGGCCCCCTGTTCAGAAAAGAAGGGTTTTTCCTCCAGTGCAGAGTAACACCCGGCTGGGGATTCTGACTAAGTAGTCACCAGAAGAACTTCTGGTTCTGTCATACTGCGTCACCCAAAAAATAAATAGTAAGTTATTGGTCTACGTTCATATATAGTTCCAGTAAAAGTTTGGACACATTTTCTTATTCAATTAAAGTGTGTCCAAATCTTCCACTGATACTGTACAGTATATGAAAAGGTTTGAATTATATTTCGAGTCTCAGCAACATACTGTGTTTTTATCCCCACTGCACTGGGAGTGGAGCAAGAGAGAAGAGACCATTCAGACCTGAATAATTCCGCTCAGCCAGAGTAAGTTGGTGCATGACTCACCCAGTGTGACCTCGGCCTGCATGGGCATGGACAGAGCAGGGTGGTTGACCTCACAGCTGAACAGAGCCTCGTTGTCTAGCTGGGGGTTGAGGCTCCAGGTCAGCATGGCTCTCACCTCCATGGTACCATCACCTGCTGCCTGCTGCCGGTGCTGGAAGTAGTAGAGTGGATCGCTGCTCTGGACCCAGCGAGGAAACTCCCGGCTCACTACAGTCTCGGGGATCACCTCAGTGGTCGTCTCGGGATCGAACTCGAACGTTTGCTCTAGGCCTGTTTCGGGGCCATCTTGCCCCAGCCGAGCCAGTTTCCCCTCTTGCTCCAGAAGGGACAGGGACTTCTGGAGTTTAGTGTCATCAAGGTCTCGACTGGTGAGCCCCCCGGAACTCCAATACCCCACTTGAGTCCTGTCCCGGCTCTTTCTGAGACCTGGGCCCTTACTTCGGTCTTCCACTGAAGAGAAAGACTGGGCAGTTGGCACCACATCAATAAGCTCACCATCCCGCTTGAAGTACACCTGAAAGGCAAGGACAAAGACAGGCCAGCCCAGCATGAACACAGAACCTAAATTTGGAATGTTTTCTGTGTATTCTCAATTAAGAAGGTAAGAAAACGTAGGAGCTGAATAGTTGGTGGATGAGGACAAGGAGACCAGGCAGGTACAAAGCTTGTAATTATTAATGTGTGGAAGGGTTAGTTGAAGATGCTTTACTTAAAGGAAATATGCTATTTCAGGTTGCTAAACACGGGGCTGTGCATTTTGGTCTCGATACAAAATGTCACTCCAAGTTTTCTTGAAAACTTCAGAGCCCTGTAAATGTGTTCATGTCTTTCTTCTGAACCATGTTTGTTCTGACATATTTAATTACTCAAAACTTTACATCATGTGCGTAACATTTGAATTACATTATATGTAGATCATTATGATACGGATAAAGTAATGAAAACATTATCGATAGTCAATACACCATTTGTTTGACACTGCCTCTAGCCCATACATGTAAGGAGGTAATTTAAAGTAACTGATCATTGATATAATTTAATATTATTCATACACAGAAATACAAATGCTCCATACTTGCATACACCTGCATACACTCCTGTTGTTTCAGATATTTGTGTGTCAGTGAGCAGCTTACTGTCAGGTGCTGCTGTGTCCTGTGATGTGACCAGAGATTTGTGCTTCCCATCATCATTACTTACCGAAACAACAATAACATTGTTATTGCTGGGGAGAGGTGACCTTGGTTAAACAGAGGGAGATTGTTTTATCTAGATTAGGATTGGATGCAGCATTGCTTCTCTTCATCACACTAACAATCTGGACATGCAAAACTGGTCTTCACTGGATGATCTAGCGCCTTTAAATATTTTTCTCAGGAGGTCACAAAGAGTACAAACCAGTGCTTAGCCGTGGCATGAAGCAAAGCATTTGTTTGTTTGGTGTTTAATTTGTTTGTGAGCATTAACTTTTTAAATCCAGTGGTGCTCCCAAGGTTTCATTCCTAGCATTCAGAGCACTGTCAAAATATGATTATGGGGTCCTTCAGGAGGGATGAAGAGTAAAAAGGCTCCATCTCACCATGGGAGCTGGCTTTGCTCCAGTAACAATGCAAACCAGAGTGAAGTTCTGGGCCTCGTAGCGGCTGAAAGGAGCTGGGCTGTTGGCTGCCACCACAGAGATTGACTTGGGAGGTACTTTGGAGAAAATACAAAAGAAGACAAACACAAAACACATAGTACTTTCCATACATTGAAGGGAAATACATTATTATTATTAAAATGATGTCATTTCATCAAAGGGTAAAGTAAAGTCACTATGCTGATGATCTTATTTACAACATATTAGATTAATTCAATTAGTTTTACAACTGACACATTTTGGGAAATATGCTGATTTGCTTTCTTTTTGAAAGGCAGATGTTCACTTTTATGATAAGTGAGTCAAAGAGCTATTGTTGTTTAGAGGACTAACTTTTCTCCATTTCTGTTCGATTCTAACTCCAAGATACTACCTGTTAATTATTGAGCTTTAGAGGGGTTGGATGGTGTTTTCTTTACCATGCTATAACACCATGCCCACAACCACCACACTGATAAATCCATCTATTACTGTTCGCTGTGGAATTTGGTACAGATAGCGATGGTGCCCATGGGATAAATCCTGGAGAATTTTTGATCCACTGACTTTTCCTCTAAGAATATGGCTTTTAAGATTCATGAGACTTCCTCAGTCATGACTACATACCGATGACAGTGAGGGTGATGCTGGCGGAGGCTAGAATCACTTTGTCTGTGGAGCGCCTGTCATAAATCCCCACATGGCACTCATAGAGACCATCATCTTCCATCTGGACTTCAGGAAGACTGTACAAAAATGACACACTCATTTCTTTATGAGAGGTTGTGGATACAATGTCTTCCAAAAGATTTATGTTGTTAAACAATGAGTACAGTAGAAGCGCCAGTCTCACCGCACAGTAGACTGATAGACCAAGTCCTCTCGTCTGTGCCTGCCCTCCATGTTGGAGAAGCTGGTGTTATACATGGCATCATAAGTGAAAATCTTCTGTCTGGCATTGCCTCCTTCAATCACCTGAAAGACAACTTTAATTAGCATCACTGACAGTGGTGGCTGGCCAATAGAGGGTAATGGGGTGTGGCCCCACATTGAGCCTACAAAAAAAAGTTATGATAAAATATTTCACAAATGGTCAATAATAGTGTTCCTGTGTGCGCTGGAGCAACAGAAAAGTGGCCCACAGGAGGCAATAGAGTCTGTGAGCAGCTTAGCCAATTGCTGATTAAAGATGTAAATATGTGACACAATGTAGCCAGTCGACGTCTTCAAACTGATTCAGCCCAGGGCCAACATTGAAATGCCCCGGGACAATGCAATAAGACAGCAGACTGGGGTGGAGAGGGAGCCACTCACATGGGCGTTCTGTGAAGGTTGTTACATCAGGAAGGTTTGGATTGCTGGTGGCGCTCATGCTAACGACATTTAGCTTTAACTGCATTGGTGTTGATGTAATTAACAACAGGTGCACTAGAGGGGCAACAATGAGACAACCACCAAAACGGGACTGGTTATGCATGTAGTTTCTCTTTCTTGACCTCTTTAACTGTGTGGCTTTAAAGGGAGTCACAAGGCAATTTGTTAACCCTACAGAAGTTGAACAAATTGTCCAACTCCTCCAGATAGAACATCCATGCGTGCTGTTACAAGGAGATTTGAAAAAAAAAAAATAAGACATGTAATGTTTCTCCTAGCCCAATATCCAGAGCATGGAGGAGATTCCAGGAGACGCACAGTTACTTTAGGAGAGCTGGACAGGCCGTAAAAAAGTTTTCAATCCATCAGCAGGATTGATATCTGCTGTTTTGTACAAGGAAGAACAGGTTGAGCACTGCCCGAGCCCTAGAGAATGACCTCCAGCAGGCAACTAATGTGAATGCCTGAACAATTCGAAATAGAGTGTGCACCCGGTACCATGGAGCTCCAATGGCATTTGGCATGTCCACCGCTGGCACCCTGTGCTTTTCACAGATAAGAGCAGGTTCACCCTGAGCACCTATGATAGACGTGGAAGGGTCAGGAGAAGCCAAGGAGAATGCTATGCTGCTATATATACTAATGTAGTATGTATGTATGTATAATATATATATATACACATACATACATACATACACAGTTTTTTTTTTAGTTAAGTTTTACACAAGACCATTGTTCTTGTTTATTTTCTAATAGACCAATTGAGGGCTGAAGAAGGAGAACATCGTCAAGACAGAAGTTATTAAGCAGCTGTTATTACATTAAGTTCACCTGTGTGCTCACCCGAAACCACACAATCTCTCTGAGGTTGCCGTCTGTTTGGAAGTTGCACTTGAGTGTCACTGTGTCTCCAATTACAACAGGAAGAAGAGGCTCAATGGAAACAGTTAAATAACCTGCAAAAGTGAGAACAATGTTAGACATTTGGAAATTACATTCCCATTAATGGCTCCTTACAAAAAATGCTCTTTTGAATGCCTAGCTGGGTGGTTGAAGAGGTTGCCATCAGCGCGTTTTGTGATTAGTCGAGCAGATTTGTTGTCACAGCACAACAACAGCGCCACTTTACCCCTGTATCCGTATGCCACACAATGACATAAAGACAGTGGAAAAACGTATCGGACAAACTGATATATCCAGGTAATGGTAAATGGCCTGTACTTGTATAGCGCTTTTCTAGTCTTCTGACCACTCGAAGCGCTTTAACACTACACGACATCATTCACCCATTTACACCCATTCATACACTGATGACAGGAGAACCATACAGTGACACCTGCCATCAGTAACTACCATTCACACACTGTAGTCGCAGCTACAGGAGCAATGTTGGGTTAAGTGTCTTGCCCAAGGACACAACGACATGCGGGTTAGCCGGGCCTGGGATTGAACCCACAACCCTCTGATTGGAGGACGACCGTGCTCCCCACTCACCCACAGTCGCCCTATATATATATATAAGTTCTAGCATCATTGGCTTCATTGCATTGGAGAAGGTCTATTAGGATGCCAAAATGAAGAAAAAACTGTTTCCGAACAGCTGGTTGCAGCTGACTCTGAAAAAACTCCATAAATATATTGACATATCTATATATATATATATATATATATATATATATATATATATGCAGTGTTTCCTGAGAAGATCGCCCAAAGGAAGCATATAGAGGTTAAATAAAATTGGTCAAAGTACAGAACCTTGTGGGACACCGTGACCAACATTGGTGGTCATCGAAAATTCACCATTTACAAGCACAAACTGGGTCCGATCCGATAAAAGGATTTAAACCAGCTGAGTCCAGTTCCTTTGATACCAATCAAATGTTCTAGTCTCTGCAACAGGATACAATGATCAATTGTGTCATATGCGGCACTGAGGTCCAGTAAGACAAGAAAAGAGATGTGAGAGGTCAGGACTTTGACTCCGGTGCAGAGCAATAAGGCAACGAAAAACTTCTTTCCAGGTTTGGAACCTTTTACTTCCAGAATAAAGTAATGCACAGGTGGACTTCACACGCTCTTGTAGAAACAAAAAAAAGGATAAGGGCCTGGCAATGAAGTAAAAAAACAAGATAACCACAAACCAACACTGGGAATACCTGACTACAAAACATGCAACTCGGGGAGGGACAAAAGATAACCTGACACGGACAAGTGGGGGGGGGGACTGAGGCTTAAATACAGGTGGAGGTACTTGCAAACTAAACTCAGCTGTGGGGAGAAACGAAGGGCGAGGAACTAAATACAGGAAGTGCAGTGGATCCAAGAGACAAGTACAAGATTTAGACTTTATTTAGAAATTGTAGAAGTCAGTTGATCAAGGTTGATGGAGGAGAAGCCATCCAAGCAGGTATTAGGGCCCACTGCTGCATCCAAGGTTCCTACAACTAAGGAAAGATTGGCACTGTTTCAAAATATATGTTCTCCGTTTATGAACCCTATCAATGGATCGGTCTCTTGGCGTCTCCGCAAGCGTGGTTCTCGCACACCGCTGCTGGGCATCTTTCTCTCCAACGTGCCTCACTGGACGAACTTCAGCTGCTGGTGAGGAGAGACAGAAACAATTCTGCATCCTCCGTTTTGTGCTTCACGGAGACGTGGCTTTGTGGATCGATACCAGTCCCCGCGCTCCAGCTGATGGCCGTCCAGCTGCTCACAGTGGACCGCGACACGGAGCTCTCTGGCAAGACGAAGGGTGGAGGAATCTGCTTCTACTCAAACACTGTTTTCCTTATTTGGAAAATTTTATTGTTTTCTGTAAACCCTTTTACTCCCCCCATGAGTTCGCTTCATCGATCCTGGCCGGTGTTTACATGCCGCCGCCGCCGCCGGGCAACGTGCAATAGTTATTGTCCGTTAACAAAGGAAATCTCAGCCATGAACTTTGTAAGTACAAACAGTTAACTATTGTGCTAATAATGACAAATTACATCTTTATCTCCTTTTTTATGGAAGAAATACTGTAAAGAGTATTTTACGGTTTTTCAAACTTACATTCAAATCATGTAAAAAAAACGGTCAAATGACTGGCAGCAGCCAAACAAAAACCATAAAATTAAGGTAAAATAACTTAATTACATTACATTACATTACATGTCATTTAGCTGACGCTTTTATCCAAAGCGACGTACAATAAGTGCATTCAACCATAGGGTACAAACTCAGGAGAACAAGAAACAAGAAAGTGCAATTTCCTCAAATAAGCCAATTCAAATAAAAGTGCGAAAACCATAAATTTACAGGAATTTAACAATTTTGTTAGATTCGATTTTTCCTGTAGTATTACGATGAAACAACTTTCAATAAAGGGATATCACTTAATATTATGCGCCGAAAGTGTTAATTTAAAGATTTTGTACTCACTCCCCAAACCTCCACCCGCACCCATGGGCGACCGGGCCTTTTGCTCGGCACCTGAGCACCTGAGTAGCAGTTCGGCCACTGAACTCTTTTAAAACTGTCCTGAAAACTTTTTTATTCAAGAAGGCATTTTTCACTCTATCTTAATTTTTTCCCCCTTACGTTTTTACTAGCTTCCACTTTGAACTATGTTTTACTCTGTGATCTGCTGATGAAGAGTGTTATAAATAAAATGTAGTATTATTATAATTACTATTTTCCTGGGCTCAGGCCTACTTACTCCCAAGTAATTTGTTTTTTTATTTTTGTGTTTGAAGCAATGGTTCTGAATATAAGTACTATTCCCGGCTAGAAGCCACAAGGACCTGGACTCAAAAGCAAACTCGAGGCGAGGTAGTCAGGTAAAAAAACAAGGTCTTAACTTCAAGTAGGGGTTTGGTACACAAGTAATCAGACAAGGCAGGCGGCGGCGGCGGCGGCGGAGGAATTGGCGGGCATCTCGCAGGTCGACCCACGAGAAGACACAGTCGCATAACAACTGGTACAGTACGAGAAGTAGGCACAGACTAAATACACAGGGAACGAGACACAGGTGGAAACAATGAGGGCGGGGCTTGCAATCACAGAGGGCGGCGGAAGGATGGTGTTTGAAACGAGAGGCAAGGTGAATGACAAAAAACACAACAGAAAACAAACAGTGATCTACTTAGAAAGTCTGGGTGTTACAGTCAACTGCTGCTACTAACATTACATTATTATTGTAGTGCCTTCCAAGAAGTCACTTCGGACGCCTCAGGGGTTTCAATATGCTGTTCTGTTCATTCCGCTATGCGCATTCTTTATCTTTGGATAAACAACTTCAACGTATAACAACAAAAGATAGACTGTCACTAAACTTATAAATAAACCAACAAATAAACCAACAAGCTAAAATTGAAAAACCATATGCCTGCTGGTGTCCACGTACCTCCAACATTCGATTCCAAACAAAACCTCCAAACTCTGTCAAGGGCTCATCCTTTGTCTTCCCCTGACCTACTAATTGGCACAGGTGTGCAACCCCAACTCCCCGTTCCAAGGCCGCAAGGTCAGGATTAGCCAGCAGGGGTCATTAAAGTAACCTCATCACAAATGGCTCCTACAATTATTATTAGTCACATTACTGTGACATGATGTCATGTAGTGTTAAAGCGCTTTGAGTAGAAAGGAAGACTAGAAAAGCGCTATACAAGTACAGTCCATTTACCATTTACTTCCTTTGTTACCTAATACATCCACTACAGCTGTTATTATTATTAGTACTCGTTTTTCCTTACACCTTATTCTGGTTATTACTCCAAGTATTTGAATTATTTCTATCGCATGCATGGGATATATTCTAAATCTTTTACGCTGTTTATTCTGTACACATCCATGCATTATGTCCATTCTGAACGATCCTCCTCTGCCGTTCTCCCTAAGGTTCTTACTTTTTTCTACTCATTGAAGAGTTTTTTTTTTTTGAGGGGTGAGGATTGCCGATACAGACTGTCTTGAGTGTCAGAGCAGCAGCTCAGCCTCAGTTGGTGCTGTACAAGCAGCAAAGCGTTAATCATTTCATCAACTTGAGGCAGCTGCCCCACAAGACAACCCGGCAGTAAACTAAGAGTAGACCCTGACCTCTGTCTGTCTAATAAACACTCAAGCAGCTCTCTCATCTCATTGCTTAATACTGTAATCCCCCCGGGGCAACAGTATTCACACCAGGCACCACATGTATAGGTTGCTGTGCTGTGACCAGTGGGATTAAAATACAATCAATGTAAATACAATAGAGGTCTTCATCTAAAGAACTACTAGAAAAACATACATAATTTCATCACATTAGTTCTTTCATTTGTTAGGGACGTCAAAGAGCACCAAGCTGATGTAGTCTTTACTGTGTGTGTGTGTGTGTGTGTGTGTGTGTGTGTGTGTGTGTGTGTGTGCTACCCTCATGAACTGGGACTAAAACCAAAGGCACCTTGCAGAGCAGCAGGCTGCGGTGCTGGGAGGCCCTCTGATGCCCTCTGCCATCACAGTGAGCCTCACCTCCACAACACTGGTCTTTACTGCATGACGTCAGCCTGCCTACAGATTATTTTCCCATGTTTTTCCTCTTAATCCTCCCTCCAGCTTTTCATCCAGAGAGCCAGGCATTTGCACAGCTTTGGTCTTTCCATACACAGACAATGTGGCACAGCGATTAAGACATATCAGAATAACACTAAAATGATTAAAAAAAAAAAAAAACATCCCTCGCACAAGTGCTTTACAATGTTCTCTGTGAAGAACAGTAAGCGATCATTTAACTGACGGAAAGCATATTTTGGAATGAGATTAATGTTAGTGAAATGAGATAGTGGAGACTGATATCACTGTGCCCCTCAGCTTATGTTTGGCTGTGGATTGAGGCTGCTCTTGTCCTATTTTAATGTTACAAACATGGAAAGGCCCATTCAACAGCATGGGATTCATGGTGGGCTGTGAAGTGTTGGATATTCCGTGTCTGTTATCTATGCTGGAATCTTGTTTGTCTTACTTAAGCAGCCGAGACCCTCCAATTTGAGTACATTTCTGCTCAGGTGTCAGATAAAAGACTCCCCACGCCAACACATCAGCAGCAAGTCAAAAGAGTACAAAATATTGTGCTGCGACCCGGTGCACTTAGAATGGTTGACATCAGCAAAAGCAGCTTAGTTTCTGAAATACAAAGGGTTCACCTCATGTTAATACCCGTCTTTTATCATAGAGCACACTTCTGTACTGTACCTAGCTACATCTGTATTTTGGCTAACAAGTTGCCAAACTTCAAGACCTGAAGCTG